TTTTTATCAAATTGTAGAGATGAAGCTTATTACTTGAGTCAAATTGGGGATTCTATTCCCAACTCCTCCTTTTGTTAGAGATTCAAGAGACCCTACAAGCGTACAGTAATATCGGTTTAATTCAATAAAAAAAAAAATTAAAATCTATAATCATCACTCCAGAGTCCAACATATATTATTTAAAATTTATATCTACCTAAAAATTTAAACCTTACAATTAAAGAATTCATATGTATATTAAAACACGTCTCTTTTTTTTTTTTTTTGAGGACTAAAGCAGCTTAGAGATTGCATTAATTATCAAAAGCAATTCTTACAGAAGTTGCAAGAGAATGAGCAGAGTGTACCTCGGCTCTGTCTACTTTTTCTAGGATAACATGTACAAATTTTTTAGAGCATAACAAAATATCACTCAATAGAGAGTGAAGCTGCCAATCACTATGTTGATTAGAGGTATGGAGAAGTTGCACCAAAACCAGGCAATCGGTTTGCAAGAGGAGACATTGGATACCTTGTTGGGATGCCCAACGCATTGCATAGAGAACCGAAGCAGCCTCTGCTTGTTGAGGAGAGAGCATAGAAGGCCCCAAAATGGCTTCATGCTTGACAATGTGGTTATCGGCATCCAGCCAAACCCAAGCCAACCCAGTTCTGTCCGTAACCGAGATCCAAGACCCATCGACAACAATCCGTTATTGCGGAAAATCTGCAAGGGAAAAGGTAGCATTCTGCAAAAATAATTTATGTATCAGTGGGCCGAAAAGCAGCAGAAGCAGCAGATGACATGTTATGAGGAACATAAGGGTATGGTGACAGAAAGGTGAATAACAAGTCCCGAGCTGTGGCTAATGTATGCGCAATGGACATAACTTCAGACCGAAATTCAACCGAATTACGCTGCAACCAGATGGCCCATAATAAGGCAATGGAATGAACTAAAATCTCAACATTTGTAATTTGCTCCACCCAATTCTTGAAGCAGGAGGAGAAGGATAAAGGGATTCCCACTCCAAAATCTAATCCCAATACAGACCCACGCCAAACCCGGTGAGAAAAGGGACAGTCAAAAAATAGATGTTCAATAGTTTCCTCAGATTCGGCGCAGCGGGAGCAGAGAGGTTCAACATTGAGCCCTCGTTTCTTGAGTTCATGCTTAACCGGGAGAATATTGTGTAGGCATTTCCACAAAAACGTTTTCATGATATTTTTACTCGATTAAGGGGAATTCAGCGTTTAAATTTGGATATTAAATTTTATATATTTTGTTGTTTCACGAATAAGAAATTAATTAATTCAATGACATGTAACTAGATACATTTTTGAGTTAATTATCTAAAAGTCTTATTTACAAATATTATGGTAGTTCAGGTCCTATCTAAGATTTTTTTAACCAATAAGTCCTATTTAAAAAAATTGAGAATATTATCAAGGGAAAATTAGTTTAAAGTTCATATCCCATTTTTAGTAATAGAAGAGATCTATAATATTATTTCGTATTGTCTAAAGTCTCTCAACCCAACACCCATATATCATAGAGAAATTTGACTTCTCAAATCAAATCTCATCTCTATCTACCTTCTCTACTTCATTTCTCTTTCTCCTTATCTCTCTAAATCCAAACCTCACTTCAAGACTTCAATCCAAAGCCAAACCCAGATTCAAAATTCCCCAAAATCATAGACCAATCAAAATTCTCAACAAACCCATTTGTCAAAAAATGATTCGAGGAGTTTGGATGAGGTCTACCATCATCACATGAACATGACCAAGTCTGACACCAACCCTGCCTCCGGTGAGTTGCCGGAGAAGCTTCAGGCGAAGATTCGGAAGTCAGCGAGCGCCAAGTCGACTTTTGTACACTTCGAGGAGGACGAAACTGTGGAGGCTTGACATTCGATGACGGTGAAGAAAAGTAGAGTCTCGATGGAGGTTGTAGAAGATGAACAGGTTGATGCAAAGGCTGATGATTTCATCAACAAGTTCAGGCAACAGTTGAAGTTGCATAGGCTAGACTTTATTAGAAGGTACAAGGATATGATCAGCAGAGAGGGTGCAAAGTAAAGTATCTTGATTTCCTAGGGTTGTTTTTTTATTTTTGTTAAGTTTTGGGGTAAATTTGAGACCTCCTCAGGTTTTCATCCTCACTTCTTGTGTCCAGAGAAATTTGGTGTTGGAGATGCGTAAAATTTTCTCTGTGATTTGTCCAGAAAAATTTGGTGTTGATGATGTGTAAAATTTTATCTGTGATGCGTCTAGGGAAATTTGGTGTTATTGATGTGTAAATTTTTCTTTGTGATGTGTCTAGAGAAATTTGGTGTTGGTGATTTGTAAAAATTTCTCTGTGATCTGTCCAGAGAAATTTGGTGTTTGAGACATGTAAAATTTTCTCTATGATATGCCTAGAGAAATTTGGTGTTGGTGATGTGCAAAATTTTCTCTATGATGTGTCCAGAGAAATTTGGTATTAGTGATGTGTAAAATTTTCTTGATGATGCGTCCACAGAAATTTGGTGTTAGTGATGTGCAAAATTTTTTCTGTGATGTGTCCAGAGAAATTTGGAATTAGTGATGTGTAAAATTTTTTCGATGATATGTCTAGAGAAATTTGGTGTTGGAAATGTGTAAATTTTTCTCTATAATGTGTCCGGAGAAATTTTTCCTGTGATGTGTAAAATTTTCTCTAGATCGATATTGAGGGACCTTAGACATTATAAAAATATTGGATGTCATTTATGCTATAAAATCTTAATTCCAGGAATCTTTAAAAAAAATCCCCTATTATCAAATTTTCTCAATTTTTAAAACTAAGAACATTATCAATTTTACATTGTAATGTTCCAGATAATTGTTTTACTAACTGATAAAAAAAATAGAGCATGAGATTAAACGTTTTTGCCCTTCTCCTTATTGGTTTGATTCAATTATCCAATAAACCTGAGAACATTATCAATTTTTTCCGTTTTAAAACTGACAACATTATCAATTTTTTCATTTTTTATTTTATTTTTCTAATTTTACACATCAATGTTCCATCATCATGCTCCTTTATAGACACAAAATTTTTAGTTTTACACAAAAAAATAATTCAGTTTTATCAATTTTGTTAAAAAAAAAATCAGTATGTTTGCTTTCAGTTTTCTGAAAATTGAGTTTTTTGTATTTTATTTTTACTTTTAGTGAATATTTTTTAAATTTTAAACAATTTTCTGAAAAGTGAATTTTGAAAACTGAAAACAAACAGAGTGATTATTTTTTTTGCACGCAATTTTTTTTTTTTTTAGTGTTTTCAATTTAAAAGTTGATATTTTAAAGTTTTGAAAATCAAAATAAATGTCAAATCATCATATTTCTTTATAGATAATTATAAATGATAAATAATTACTATTTAAAGAATAATTCTGACTATTAAAAATTTAATGAGACTTAAAAATTTAAAAACTTTTAATTAAGACTTAATAGAATATAAATTTATAAATTAGAACTTATGTGTAAATGTCTCTCGATTTTTTAAAGACTAGCTAGGATCCTTCCATGACCATATCATTTTATTTGACTTGATGAATTCAATAAAATTTACTATATCAACATAACAATGTCAATTAATTCACTACTTTATATCCTCTTTTGTAGATACAACAAAAAGTTACACGTCATGTAGGCATTACATTACAACTAGGGGTGCAATTTGGACGGGTTCGGGCGGGTTGAGAAGTTGTCCAAGCCCAACTCAAGTTGTGTTGAGACCTGCCTAAGCCCGCCCAAGCCCGAATTGTAATCCGAAGTTGTCTGTCCAAGTCCGACCCGAGTTAAACCCGAATTGTAAATGAATTTTAGTTTTTTTTTTTTTGCAACTATATTATTAAATTATTAAAATTTGACTCTATTTACAATTTTTTTTAATAGAAAATCATTAATACCATCAAAACAAATAATTTATATAATGTAAGAGAGATGCCACTATAGTAGTTCTTACAATTTATGAGTGAAAAAAAAAAGAAAAAAAAGTAAAATTTTATGTTATTTGTATATATAATATATATTCAATATGATTTAATAATATAAATTACTTTAATATCATGTAATGACTAATAATTTATATGTATATTTAATATTTTTATATATCTATATATGTATAATTCAAGTTTCGGGTTGTTCGGGTTGTATGACGTCTTTGCCCAAGCCCGTCTAAATTTAATTCGAACTTCTGAATTTTTGCCCGAGCCCGTACCGAATTTAAAAATATTTTGTCCAAACCCTAAAAAAAATCAAGTTGGGCTCGAATTACTTAGGTTAAGCCCGCCCAAGTTACACCCCTAATTACAACCATCAAAACAGGAAGGGGAGGGACAAATTGGATTTTTCATAGATGTTATAACTTGTAAATATGAAAACTTCCATTTGCACACTTTCATTTTTTTTTTTCTTTCAATTCACATCATTTGTAACTATCAAATAAATAAATAAATAAATAAATAAATATTTGAATAACAAGTACCAAACTAGGTTTCATACCAATAATTTTTTATTTGGATCGTGCATAGGATTGAGATTTCAAAAATTAAAATTCCATTAGTCTAATGTAAAAAATTTCACCCACCATACTCAGTCTTGTTTACACTAGTGGTCCCTTGTATTTATAATTTTTTTATTTATATTTCTAAACAAATGTAAACATATTACAAAATTTATTAAATTCTTGTAACAAAAATAAATAAATAAATAAAATTCATTTGTTAAGTAAATAGTGTTGTATAACTTCCTTAACCCATCCTCCCCCCCCCCCACCCTTTGGCTACAATCGCCACCAAACACCTGCAATCACCCGTCTAAATGGCTTTCAAAATAAGTTTTTAAATCAGGTGTACTAAACATTTAAACATTTTGGTTTCGTCAAACCAAAGATAAATATGAACACGTTAAATGTTTTTTGTAAACAGAAAGTAAAATGTAAAACTTCACCAAATGACAAATGTTCATGTTTATTGTTGCAGACATTCAACTGTCATGAAATCGCTTCCATTGCACTCAACAATGTGTTTTAAGCTCAAATAATATTGCAACAATTTGAAGTACTCTTGCACCATTTAATATACATGTGATTGAACTAAGGGAGCACAAGTTCAATATACATGTGATTGGTCCATATTACATATACAAAATGAACAACGAATAGAGACAATGGCAAACCAAAATTGTGAGAGCCTCGATATGGACATAGTTCTCTCTCATATGAAATCTTGTTGAAGGGCAACAACCCAGCTACTGCTCAACTCTTCAATGGCAACGGGTGAGGATGGCACGGTGGATTATGAGTTTTGAAGAACTACATTTAGTTCTTGAGCACATTTTGCCAGCAAACCACCCCTCCTACATCATATCGGGAGTGACGACTTAGAAAAGAGATTTGGGATAACAAAAGCCACATTCTTGGCAACTTAAGGTAAGAAAGCAAATCAAGCCACTAAACAAAAAGCATGAACGGTTGGGATTGTAAAGCCTAATTAACACTAAGGGTAGTACGGTAATTTGGTGATGTAAACTCTAACATAGTCTACACACAGCCACTGCATTGTAACTTTTCTCTTCTTTCAGTATTGAGGAAACTCGTGTGAACCATAGGCAGATGCAAATTTGTGTCATGTTTTCTTGTTTGTGATTGTTTCTTTTTTTGTTTTTGTTTTTTGGCTATATTCCTCAACAAGTATAAGGGGTAGAAAAGAGAGAATCATTAAACTGTTTTTTGGTGACTCGAATTGGTCAACTTAGTAAAACAGGTAGGGATTGGCATAGTACTCTGGCATAGCGACTAGCTTATTTGTGAGGAGACAAACAGTTACTAACATCTTGAAACTTTATGAGATACACTTTTAATACTCATCACATATCTCCAAGACTTTGAGAGAAAGCTCTATATGAAATGATATATTAGCAAACTCTCTATGTAGCATACATACAAAACTCATGACATAATACGAACACGATGATACTCCTAATCTTAAAACAGGGACGACATGAAATTGATACACTAATGCAATTTTATGCGTCACATAAGACCAAAAAAAATGTAAAATTCAAGAAAAAGCAACCTAAAGAAGCCAGCAACATTGACTTAAAACCTTCGCAAAATCTATCATAATTTAACTGAACCTAATTTTCATTTGGTGATAAGACAACTAAAATACACACAAACGAAAGTAAGATAGAGGGGGGTATGGGAGAGGAGAGAGACAGTATAAAATTTATAAGTGAAGATTTTAGCAAATATAAACATTTAAGGAGACAGTTTCAAGAATTTTGTTGAAAATAAAAAGAGAAGAAAGAAAAGAGGAGGTATGAAGATTTGATAAATGTTATTTATCACTGGATTTATTTCACCATTTTATGTCAACTCCTTTGTGTATTCATGTTATAAATGCCATGTGCAAGTAAAGAACCTACCATAATACACAAATAGTGAAACTTATAATGGTGCATGAAAAACCATAGGCGAAGAGTTCCGGCGAAAATTTTTCTGTGATATATAGCAGCACTCTAAAGATTCGGGGGACAGACCTAAAATTTAAAAGAATAAATTGAAAAATATATTTTTATTTAGAGCTAAAAAGAATTTTTTCAAAAATTTGAGGAATGTGCCCAACGTAGCTCCACCATTGCCTAAACATGTAAAATTCCAACTTCAAACACATGTTCCTCAGATTCAGGATAAAGCCATTGCGTTCAATTTAAAACCAAATTTAATGGAAAACTACATCATGAGCTATGTTACATGGGCTCGGGACACATGCATCGGGTCCAGGTATGTGTCCAAACGTTAGACCGTTATAAACTTGAATCCTAGGATATTGGAAACTATATTCAAAATAGGATATGGGCTATGCTATTAGAATCGTACAATTCGCAATTCAAATTGTACGATTTGATTCAATTCAATGGGAAATTGATACGAACAGGTTGTGTGAATCGCAAATAGCTATGAATCATAGGTGAATCGGTGAATTAAATCAGTGAATCGTGAATTGCTAAAATCGATATTTGACTTTCTTTTTTGCTTTTTTATTCTTGGAAAAGGATTCACACATCCTTTTTAAGGTCTTTAGGATTACTATATGCCATCTCTTGACTTTCTCCCTCCCTATTTACTCTCAAATACACAAATCTTAGTAGAAAAAAATGAACTTTCTCTCTCTACAATATTCTAGGCTTACTTATTTAATTTTATCTAAGTGCTTGCATTTACAAAATGAATTTTTTAAAAGCATCAAGTGAGATTTTAGAAAAAAATTAAAGATTTTGGTTCTCTAACCTTGTAAAAAGTATGTTGTTTAGTTATTGTTACTTGGAAATTGAAAGGTTGTCTTTGCTTGCTTTCTTTATTCTTAATAGTATCTAAAAGGCAAAAATGTGAAGCGGTAAATATGGGAACCCGTGTTAACTTCTTACCTAGACCACATGATCATCATTTAAAACAATATTTTCATTGATTTAAGTCTAAACATTTCATATTTATTAGATATATTTAATATCTCAGTGTAGATATATTTTTCTATGTAATTTAAAAAATATGACCGAATCTTTACGATTCACGATTCGATTCGCAATTCGGTACAATACCATTTTGATTCACGATTCGAATTCAGATTTGACAACTACGGATATGGGTATTGAGACTCATTATGGACACACATATATATGACATATTATATAATATTCTTTGATTCGATGTTGTAAATTATGTAGAAATGTATTTGAAATCAAATAAGATATAGAATTTTTATCTTTCATCTATGTTATAAATGTTTCTTTTCTAACAAATGTGAGTTTTTTATTCTTCAAACATTGTAAAAGTTGGAGGATCCAAGTATTTAAATTGAGTACGGGTGTCAGAAACATATTCCACACCTTTATCCTTGTCATATTCGGTGGACATGGGTACAACGGGGCAAATAGAAGAGTCCATGTAACATAGATCATGAGAACCAATTTATCAGCAGGCTAATGTCACAAGGGAATTACTGACAACACCTCAACCAAATTTTCTCACACATCTGACTACACAAGAAATCAACAAACTAAGAATCAAGACAGCTTCTTTACCTTACAAGCACTGGAAGATATTTTTGGATCTTTTGGAGTTGGATAAAGCACTGATTGCAGCATTCGAGCCTGTGAATAAATTTTCAAATAGAAGTTAGTGTTCTATACAAGTAATTCTAATCCATTCAGAAGGGGGGAAATGCAAAAACTCAGGTTAAATGTTAAAAGTTCATACCTTTGCTCTGCATGAAGATCAACGCCAACAGCTGGAGATGCTGAAATAGTTGAGTGGACTACTGGGCCAAAGACCGCTACAAGCTTCAATAGCATCTCCAAGGAAATACTGGCATGCCTATACAATTGCAACGTTATTAAGATATGAGTCACAATCTAAGAAATACAAAGAAGGTTTGTTGCAAATCCACAATTTATTAATGACTTTCTTCAAATGTTAGAAAGATTTTCATTATTATTATTAGCATTTGAAAGTCAAAAGGCAAAACTCATACAAGCTCAATCAAGTATCTTTACATGGTGAACTCATTTATCTTTTTTTCCTCCTTTTATACAGGCATAAACAAGCTCGAAACTTGTAGTTCAGTTTTATCTTAAAGACTGAATGCCGAAACTGTGACCCTTTTCATTGCTTCCTTTTGTGTGTATTGAGTTTTTTTTTTTTATTTATTTATTTTTGTGTGTGTGTGTGTTAGTGCTTTCACCTTCAAGTGGCAGACCTAAAATAAGTTCTCTCCTAAATTTCTATAATTCAAATATAAAAAATAAAAATAATTCTCAAAATGGAAAAAAAAAAATCTTTTAGGATGATTATTGGATCCACCACTAGGTTGACCCATTTTTCATTTAAAGAGTACTTTCTAATATATATATAAATCATATAAAGGTAAAATATATTAGAACGTTACTTGTAGGGTTGGACTAAGCCTGGTGAACTTGGCTGATAATCTGGACTTCAGAACCAGGAAAGCATTACCACAGATTAAGTCAGATTCACCAGTAATGTCAACAGGTCATAGGCCATAACCATTGTAGTGTTTTGCTAAAATAGTAACTCGTGAATCATATCAAATCATGAATCGTAAGATTCACTTTATTTGACATAATATAGAATTTTATATATGAATATATATATATATATAAATACATATATAGTTTATTTGAAATAAATATCAATATAATATATTTTATACATGTATGTACATATAAACCAACGTGTAACAAACTAGTTATTTCTTAAAAAAAAATTTATTTTGCAAAAATGATGTCGTTTCATGCATTATGCAAGCAAACAGAACTAAATTGTAGTGAATCGCAATTGAAATGTACAGAGATGCCAAAACATCCCATGTCAGTGGTTTCCAACCCGACAACATAGGTTTGCTTCTTATTTAAAGTTTACCTTTCCATCTTGCTATCCAACAAACCCAAAAGCACAGGCAGCAGGCATGAGAACAGATCTAAGGTGAGAACCTCCATTTTCTCCATGAGAATACTGATCAGGTCTGCTTGTACCTACACCACATACAATCTTCATAAAATTAAACAAGCAAGAAATTGGTTACCAATAAGAACCATCTGAAACGAACAAGCAACACGCTTGAAATCCTCGAAGAAATACCCACAGAATGATCAGGCAACTTCCTCGTAGCATCTATAGCACCCTTGATATTATTCCGTTCCCAAAAATGGCGCACCACCTGCATTCATTAGAATTTTATATTATCTGCATCCTTATATAAAACAAGATGCTTGAATGCAATTCACATAAGAGAATAGCAATTCAACAAAACGGAAAATGAGAGGCAAAAGCTTGTCAATTATTACAAACATCCAGTTGCATGGAAAATTGCTTAATAGATGAGATAATTTCAGCAAATCAGCAATAATGCCAAAATAGTAATAAATCAGATCCACGGACCTGTAATTTTGTCAAGCGAGACCGAAGGGTACTTAAGAATACATCATGATTCTGCATCAGATCTTCGGCAACATTACCATCATTTGCAGATGTCAACTCCCTTTCAGTTATTTGTGGATGTCCATTCTGTAAATTTCCAACAAGCATGATAAATATTCAAAAGACTACTTGACAAAATCTAAGAATATGTCTGCATTATATGAGAGAAAAAACCTGAAATAAAAAAATTTAAAAAAAAATCTGAAATACAAGGTTTTATTTTATATAGTCCAGAATGGAACACAATTCTCATTACAACTGGCCATTAACACTGGCCAATTTATCTGTCAGTACTTAGTGTTTTATCTTTACACAGTCAGTTCCAAGCACAGAAAAGGGAACGGGGTAGAGTTAGGTAGCTAACAATTAACGTATAACTTTGTCAATCCTTTTATAAACATGGATCCTAAGAATTTGGTGAAATGGCTTAATAGGATCCATGCCAATCCCAAGTAATTGGGAGAAAGGCTTAGTTCAATTGAGTTGTAGCCTATGGTTTCATTATATCTACAGATATGTGAGTAAGTGGAGGATTGATTAAATATTTTGCAATGGAGTTGACTGATTAGAGCTATGAATGGTAGATATGAAAGCTAGTGTTGGCTTGTCTTGGGTGAGGGAACTAGTGTGAGGTGGTGGTTATCTGTAACAGAGAGGGTTGCAAAGGGAATGGTGGTGCTTTCATGGTTGATGGAGGTTTGGGTCCAACAAAGGGATGACAGAAAGAGAAATCATTCATGGTCAGCCATATGTGACATCTGAGGTGATGGTAGTTGGATATTAACAACGTCACAGAAGATGGTTGGACTTTACCATTTCTTCTTCAAATTTTGCACTCATAATTGGATTAAATTTTCAATGAAAGAAAAGGTATTTGTTAGAAAATGTATAAATATTTCATCAAAGGTTGATTTTGTTGATATCTTGTAATAATTATGGTTTAGTGACCAGTTCTTTATGGTGGTAATTGGCTGCAACTAGACACAGTAGAGGTGAAGGTAGCTGGATTTGGACTATTAGGATCTGCATATAACAAAATAATGCAGTCTACTAATTCAAAATATCCTGTGTGAGTGAGAGGTCATATAAATTGAAACCAAATTACATATCAATTTATCTATGCATAATAGCCACAGGAGACAACTATTTTAGGGGGGGAAACCATACCAACATGGGGGATATTTTAGCCGTCTCAGGTCTTATTTGAGGGGTTGTATCAGGTGCTTGAACTTCATCACTATTTAATCTCTCTCTCCTTTCAAACCTCTCAACCAGAGAACGTGTCCTTCCTTGTACAACTGCCACTGCCAAAAGAAAATTTCTAAATGAATCAGATTCTATCAAACGCGTCTTTAAAAACTGTGTAGATAGCATTTGATAGCAGACCTCCATTCACAACTTTAACTGAATTTGTCCCTTCAGTGCCATTGAGGGACTCATTACCTGCAAATAATTGAAAATAAATCAATATTTTGAGCAACAGATTATTATTATAATAACGTATATACGTAATCAAAAGCTCATAGGTTGTGTATCTATTGTTGAGCTCATAGGATTTAACATGAGGAAGGAGAAATCAAATTTAAAATGTATGTACGGAACAATGTTTAAAATTCTATATCCTTTGACAAGGCTCGAATATAAATGGCATTGATCTGCCAAAAATTCAAAAATGGAAAATAGTAAGAGAATTCAAGAAATATTGGAATGACATGGAGTTTAAGAACATGCTGTTTCACTATATTAGTATTTCTTTTGAAGAATTTCAAACTGGAAAGGAAATGAAGTTTTCAGAAAACTTTTTGACAAACAATTTTCAGAAATTAATTTAGAAAGAAGTTTCATCAAGTAATCTCCCCTTTCTTTCTGAAAAAATTAAACAACTTCCAGAAATAGAACCAATATGCTGAAATTATAAGCAAAGTTTCGATCTCAAAATATAGGTTTATTAACACAATTGGTAAAGAATCCCTAGATTTCATTTTCCAGAGGAAAATCTCACAAAGCAATTATGAGAATAAAATGAAATGAGCAAAAAGTTCAGCTGAAGGTGCTATCAGATAGGATGGCCTATTGTTTAACAAATATAGGACCACTAGCTTCCATTTCCATACACCACATTATCTCAGCTCACACACTTTTTTGGTTCAGATTTTAACTTCAGAATTAAATTATATGGTTTGGAAATTGAAAATCAACTTCCGAATGAAACTTTATGATTCAGCTATATCTTTGCTTCGTTAGTTGATTTCCAAACCATGTAATTTTGTCCGGACATCAAATTCCGAACGAAAAATGATGTGTGAACTGAGAGAAAGTTGTGGGTGGAAATTGGAGCTCCCATAATTAGAGAGGAAAAAAGAACGGTTACATGTATATAATAAAAGTAGACAATAGAAAGTGTGTACGATGACATGGAATTATGTAAAGAAATTACACTGCAGTAGAGGAACAAGAACATTACAGTTTTCTTGACTAGGTGGTGCCAGAGGTGATAATTTCTTTTCAAACTTCCATGCAACGCTGTCGATATTCAAATGCTTTTCCCCAGAGTCTTCTCTAGCATCATCTGCTACAAGCCTTTCATGGAAGGTTGGATCCGTTGCTTTGTCACCACTTGTTTTTCTAATAGATTCAGATTCAACAGGCACTGACAGTCTCTCCACGTCAAATTTGGCAGCCAACGATGGCCTCCGTACATGATGTGGCTTCAATGACGTACCAGTGCTGGGCCTAGCAGGGATAACAGCTTCCCTTCTAGAATTGGCAGTGTCTTTTCCATCATGACCGTCCCGAGGTACAACACTAGGTACTACAAAAGATTTACTACGTCTATGCCCTATAGTTTTCGCAAGCACGCCAAGTACAGGACCTTGCTTCTGGGTTGGTAGATTATCCATTCCCTTGGAATCAGATGGGTGTACAACCTTAGAAGAGGTATTGGACCCAACTCTTTTTGAAGCAACTGGATTTCCTCCTGCAGCTATACATGGAATAGCATGTTAGAGCAGCAAATGGAGAATATAGTTGGAAGCAATATCAGCACAGGAAACTGCAGAGAATTTATTGGGTATCAAATATGATCCCTGCTTGAGCAACAACCTAAAAATAACAGATTCAACCATGCTTTATGCCTAGGCAAGCACATCAGACGAATGTAGGCCAGCTGCCAACCTACCTTTAAAATAACACAGGAATCAGTCCAGTCCCAACTTTCACAATAGCCCAGCATGAACCAAGATGCTTAAATTTGGCATGAACTGAATTTGGACTATTGGACCAATGGGCCTTCATGTTGGGCAACAGGCCAAGTATTAGCTTTTAACCTACCATTAATTCAGAGTGGAGAGGGAGTTGTCAGTTTAGAACGGGTCAGCTTCCAATCCGATACTGGTTGATCAAGTTGACAGACAAAAAGATCAAGTATGTCTCTGAAGTCAGCAGAGATCAATACCCAAACATAAGGGACTGAGGCAGAAATAAATCATACAGGAAAAGCATATGATGGAGGAATATTGCTTCAAGGAAGAAATTAAAACTAGATGCCAAAAATTCCAAGGCCAGAAACACTTAATGTTAAAAATCCAATGAATGGAAAGATACAAAAAAATTATGTAGAGATTTTTTTTGTTTCTCTTTAAGTGTGGCCCCAAGGAATATAATATCATAATGAAGATATATCACTATCATAAAGATACAGTAACATCAATGGACATGTAAGATATTGATATCGGTTCAGAACAATTAGAGACATTAATGTAAATTTATAAACATCATGTATAATACCGATATATCAAGGCCTTGAAAAACGCTGTATAATAGATATATCACAAATATAGCAGATATTTCATTCCAGAGGTGGGAGAGAGGTGTATGAGATAGGGTGGAGTGTTGAGGACACCAAACAAAAGATCCGGTCATTATGTTTCCAACCTCTCAATCAACACCATATTGCCAATAGATGAATTCAAATAAATGAAAATGAAATCTAAATATAAAGACATTTTTGGCTAAACCCAAATTAGCAACTTCCATGTAAAAATAAATACTTACTGTCCACGTATATATTTTTTATTTCTTTAGTCTCGTAATCTGGAGATGGGCAGCGGAAATTTGAAGCATTCCTTCTTTGACTTCCAACTTTTGCCAAAGAACTTTCTTGGAGATCACATTTCTGCTCAGAGCGGTTATTTTGTGTAGGTACAATACCAGTCCCGTATGGTTCAATAAGCTGACATGACAAGACATATGGACTTGAGAAAAAAAAAAGGAAACTAAATTTAAGATGCAGAGGTAAAGGGGAAAATAATTAAATAAATAAAACTAAATAATGACCAAAAAAAATAAAATAAAATGAGTTAAAAAGAATTAGATGAAGGAAGCTACTGAAATATCAGCTGCCCAAACTGCAACAGAGTTTCGATAATATGAGCAACCCAAGAGCTTCCCATCATGGATACAGAGGTCACCCAGCGTTGACCATCCCATGTCCACAGTATCTTGACACATTACAGGCTCCCATGAATAAACCTGCAGTACATAGGGCATGGATGTGTAAAGGCTATTTCATTTACCAAAACCAATTCATAAAGTTTTAAAATGGAAGAGATCAGAACCTTTAAACTATCATCCAATCCACAAAACAGGGCTCTACCATCTGGGTGAAAGGCAATTGATCGTACTCCTGTAGCCTGGAAGACAAAAAAATGAAACAAGAAAATTGTGAGGAAAAAAAAATTCCATCTCCGACCATTAGCAGTGAACTCAACAACTTGTCCCTGCAATTTCTAGTTCAAGAAAAGGAAAAATCAATGCTTTATAAGACTTTAGTAGGTAAGTAAAAAAATATAAACTTTCACAGATATTCAATTATAAATAATCAATGAGTTTAGGGTCACACAAGCCCAATACCTCCTCCGGTCTGGTAGATCCAATCAGTTCCAAGGTTTCCAAATCCCAAAACTTCACTGTCCTGTCTGCTGAACCTGGAAAATAGCTCACCCACTCTTTACATTCATGGTAACAAAACACTTGTATTCTTCTTGAATTTCCCAAACCTTTTATTCCTATTTTTGGTTAAGCCAAGTCAGAATTTCTAAATCAAAATCTTGTTACTTCATCAAATTTATCTAAATAACTTGGCATATTTCATTTACCTCCAAAATTGCTCTTGCAATTTCCAAATTAATCCAAGAATAACAATGGATGACAATAGAGAACCCACTATTGTCATTCTCTTGGCACACCCCCCACTCCTTGGCAAGTGCAACCATTGGATTTTCACAGTCTCCTAATTTACAAGTGACGAGAATGATATTCAAAATGTCAAAATGGAATTTCCAATCCTGGTAATAACAAAGCATCAAATAAATGGACAAGAAATATAATATCAAATACAACCTGAAAAATGCACACTCTGACTCATGTATTAAAATTTGTTTTAAACTTTCATTCATTGAATTTTCAAATCAATAAGAAATACTTCCATCATATGGATTAAAATTCCTGACTGCACTGCCCTTGAATCATAAGGCATTGTGTTCTCATTTTTAAGTATCTGTGGAAATCAAATTCAACTATCCTTGTAGATTACATCAATTTAAGTTAAAATCGCAGTGTTCACTTGCATTATTCACTGCCTCCTTACTAGAACTATAAATACGAAGACCTAGCACCCATCGTAACAAAGCCGCAAGTGAGGGGCAACACAAGTGGAGAAAAATGGCCGTTGAGAAGCCCAAATAACAAAAAAGAAGTGAGACTTCTTGAGTGTGCCTTGTCTTGTGGATACAAATGTAATGTATTGGGTGTGTCTTAAGGGGAACTCCACTGTATTGGAGTCATGTACTTACCTGTTGCCAGAAGGAATTCAAGCGGATGGAAATCAATGGATCGAATATGTCCTTCATGGAACTTGAAATCATGCAAGAGCTTTCCAGCAGTTAGGTCCCATACCTATCCAACAAAATAGGGGATCATGATCAAAACAATTTTTTTTTAAAAAAAAAATGATGAACTGCCAGCTGTAAGTCTAGTTTTACATTATTACCTTTACAACATTATCAAATCCACCAGATACTACCCAGCGACCATCAGGCGTGAATTTTATAGTACTAATGCCTCCAGTATGACCCTTGTATGTGTGAATGCATCCTTTCTTTCTGATATCCCAGATCTTTAGACTAGTATCCATAGAACCAGAGGCGAAAAATTCACCAAATGGATGGAATTCAACAGCAGTGCAATTCGATCTGTGTCCAGTAAGAGTGCGAACCACTACACTTAGGAATAATAATAACCAGATTAGGACAAGCCACCTAACACTATTAAAAAAAATTGTAATATCAAAAGGTGAAGAAATTTCACATATACTAGACCGATTCCCTAGTTCAACTATTTGTAAATCAGGTATGCAGATTACCCCAGCCAGAAGATGATGAATTTATTCAATATTAAATGTGATGTTTCAAAATTACTAACTTCAGTACTTCCAAAGTGGACAACTTAGCACTGTATTCAATTTAGAACTTCAAATGTTATTGACTTATGAAGCGCAAAGCAACTTACTCTTTGTTTCATCCAAATCCCATAACTTTATGACACCAGCAGAAGCACCAGCAAGCAATAAAGCCTCTGTCAAATCAAATGTTACAGATTCTACTGGGCTCGTGTGGCCACACAAGCTCTGCACAATCACACAAGAAAGATAAACCTATTTCATCATGTAAAAGTAAATTGTTGCTGCTTAAGGTGTAACATCCATAGTATCTTCATATAGAGAAGCATGTGAAATACAATGAATTCATTAACAACACAGTGAAAAGGAGTACTTTCAGGTAATTTATCCGTACTGAGCCCAAATCTTAATGCTCATGAATTCAGTAAGAAATGAATATATAGTTATTGAAGTTGCATTAACTACACAAGGAATAAATAGTTATTGAAGTTGTATTAACTACACATATTGCAAACATCCTCAACAAGAAATGTCTCTTTACATTCATGGTAACAAAACACTTGTATTCTTCTTGAATTTCCCAAACCTTTTATTCCTATATTTCGTTAAGCCAAGTCAGAATTTCTAAATCAAAATCTTGTTACTTCATCAAATTTATCTAAATAACTTGGCATATTTCATTTACCTCCAAAATTGCTCTTGCAATTTCCAAATTAATCCAAGAATAACAATGGATGACAATAGAGAACCCACTATTGTCATTCTCTTGGCACACATCACTTTTATACTAGCTGATTATTTTGGACCTTTTCACCGAATTATTCCCGATTATGAGTTATTTCAATACAAAATTTCCAAACACATCAATGTATATACAACACAATGTTGTTTGCTGCAGCTTATCTGAGCCGCTTATAACTTCTTTTTTATTTGAGTCCTTATCAAACTGTTTGGTGCAATTTCTGCTTATAACTTATTAGGCAGAAATAACTTAAATAAGTTAAAAATAGTTGATTATCTAAAAGTTGGGAAAAAATGCCTTTGGCTTTTGTTTTCCTGATTATCAACTTTTAATTTACAATAAGCTGCACCAAACAAGCCCAATACACATCAAGCACATCCACAAGAAGCTATCAAACCCAAACTAAGCATACCGAACAACATTCCAACCTTGAACTCACCATTAAAGAAGTCGGTCTGCCAATCGACCAAATATTCACATTTTGGTCATCCCCACCAGTAGCAAAAAGCCGACACGTCTTCTTCCCAATATTAAGACAGTTCACACTCCCCGAATGAGCCAAAAACTCCTCTATTTCCAATTTGGTTAAGAAAACAAATATATCAAATAGAAATGCAACACCACTCAACCAATCAGTTACGCTCGAAACTCCAATCACCATTTGGCTGCCAATAAAATGTCGGAAGAAAAAAATAAAAAATAAAACCCTAAACCTCAATTATTCTCAGTTATGCAAAACATACTGCAGAAGGTAATTTTACATGGCTATGCTGCTCGGCCGAAAATTTTTTATTTATACGAGCAAGATGTGCAGTTAGGTGTCCGGACATATGTCCGGTCAGGTGTCTGATCACACATGGAGTTTGGAAGGACAAATCCCAAGCATAGGGTAAATCCACAAAGAGTGGGATAATGTCTATCACTTCCCGAAAAGACGCAGGACAAGGAAACAAACCCGTCTTGGGCGGAGCAACATGTGCACATGGTTGCACAAAACTCTCAGGTAGTGTTTGATTCATCAGAATAAAAATAGATTGGAATAGAACGATCATTTCTTAGCATCCTTATGGATAACAATTCCCTTGCAACAATAATTTCATTTTCAATCCATTTTTCATAACTTATCAATGCATTTTCCACAACTTTTTTTAGCTAACCAAACACAAGAATAAATAATTTGATAGAATAATCATTTCATTCCAGCTCATTCCAATCAACCAAAACATAGCATCAACAATAAAGCAAAATAATATAAAAGGAATTGAGCTCCCTTAACCTAGATACACAACAATTAAAGCATATACTTGCCCTAATACTAAGTTCTACCTGCAGTTACTGAGTTAACTCAGTTCCTCAGAGATTTTTTTTGAGTTAGCTGAGCAGTTAATTTTCTTAGCTTTCTTCGTGATTTTCTTTCTTTGGTGTGGTTTTCCTCAACTTACTTGGAAACCAAACAGAACAAGAACATACATAAAGGTTCAGAATTCAGATAATAAACGAATAACAGAGAGAAAACCCTAGAAGAAAACAGAGCTCATTGAAAGCCAACAGTTTCAAAAAAAAGAAAAGAAATAAGGATACGCAATTTGTAACCGCGCTTCGCCATTTCCGACACGCCAAACAACGATTTCAAAACCAGAAGATGCGATGAAACGTCGTCGTCTCGGTCGTCTTCTTCGTCGTCGAAGTCAATTGAATTGAGAATTTCAGGGCTCCAATTCGATTTCTGTATATGTCTGTGTGTGAATATATAGATTCTATATGTATAGGTGGGAAAATCCACAGAGAAAGATAGGAATTTGGAGTCAGAATAGGGAATTCAGAGAGAAAATTACAGAGAAAGTTGACAACTTCCTTTTTGAGAGACGCGGCTGGTACTCTTTTAGCTTTGATGTTGTTTTTAGAGAGAGAGAGAGAGAGAGAGAGGGGGAGAGAGAGCAGTGGAAGACGAAATCTGATTCACATTTGACCGTTCTAGGCAGCTACAATACAACTGTGGTTTACTCAATTTTTTTCCTTCATATTATTTTATTTTATTTTGGGTATACAACTATTTAATACAAGTTACCTAACAAAGATTCTTTATTTCGATTTATACCTTTGGTTTGTTAAATGATTTTTGAATAATTAATCTTTATTTAGTAATTGATATTCAAATAAATAATTTGTATTAAGTAACCACTCCGGTTCTTTTTCTCAGTTGATCGGCGTACAAATGCTACAACTATTCTGATCATATCAATTATTTTTTTAATAATTAACGAATCAATAAGTGAAAAATAGATAAAGATTTTAGTTAGAATTAAAAAATTTATCATTTGACCTTGACAGAAAAATGAATTCTTTTTCTTTTGGATCAGATTTAGGCTAAGTTTGGAAAGTCTCAAATAATTCATCTTTTTATCTTTTTTTCATCACAGCACCTCTCTACTTTTCTGTACATCTTTTTGTAAAAAGACAAAAAGTACACTTATTTAGGTCATCCCAAACAACCCCTTAGTCTATTATGCGGAGGTTAAACTTTTTCCATGATCTGATAATGCAACTTCGAGTTCTGCTCATGACTCTCTCTCTCTCTCTCATCCTTCTTGTTCTCTTTCTATCTTTGCTAGTGACTCTCTCTCTCACACACAAGTAGTGGTAGATAGTGGTTGGGGTAAAGTTTAGAATTAAGGTTTGAGATACTTTCTTTCTTACCATGGCCAGAGTTGGTGGTGGTAAGTGGTGGCTATAGTGGGATTTAGGGAAAGGGTTAAGATAGAGCTAATTGTAAGAGGCATTGGAGATTTTACGAGAGTAAAGTTAACATGTTTAAATATTTAGTAGGTTGGGTGTGGGCGGGAGAACGAGGGAAGATAGTAGTATTGGAGACGTGGAGAAGAGCTAACAATGGTGGAAGGATGAGCGAAGGGTTGGTCAATAAAGAAATTTGGTTTTACATTTTAAATTTTTTATTTATATGATATATTTAGAGACAAAATTATAATAATAAATGAATGAGAAAAGAAAAAAAATTAGAAGCTTCATGCCCTTCTAAAATTATCCATATACCTTTGTAGATCAAATATTCTGAGCCACCAAGTGCCGTTTTGGGAAGAAGTCGAAAACGCAGCGTTTGGCAACAACAACAAAAATGCAGCACCATGCAAAAAGCCAAAACCCACCATTTGGGAAGACCCCAAAACGTAGCTTCTTCATGTACCAAACTACCCTCTGAAAAAATTATTATTAATTAATTCAAAATAGTGTTGACATGCCAAAGGGCAAAATTGTAAATCTAATTAAAAAGCAAGGATATTTTGGTCATTTTAGAGTGATGTGACACTTTTACAAAATATTAAATCAAAAATGAAAAAAGTCAGCTTTTTACCAACTTCCCAAATCACTTCCAAAAAAGCCCAAAAGCTTGGTAAAAAGCCAAAAGCCAGTTTTTTACCAACTTTTCAAAACACTCCTAAATCTTTTTTTGATTAACTAAATTATTGGGTAAATTAGTCCGATCATTTTAAAGTTTGAATAACTCATAATAAATTTCACAATTTTGATATAATTGTGTTAACTTTTCATTAATAACGTTAAAATGATCAAAGCTAATATATAGTGTAAATAAATAAGAATAAATAAGTTATAATATATATTTCAGCGTATAAGTGATAACAATTTCATTTTTCTATACCAATTAGTGAATTATTGATAATAAAAAAAAAACTAAGTATAATTTGAATTAAAATTTTAATATAATTATGTTAACTTTTCCTTAATAACGTTAAAATGATCAAAGCTAATATATACAATGTAAATAAATAAGAATAAATAAGGCATAATATATATTTCAGCGTATAAGTGATAACAATTTCATTTTTCTATACCAATTAGTGAATTATTGATAATAATAATAATAATAATAATAAACTAAGTATAATTTGAATTAAAATTTTAAAAGCAATTATGCCAAATTTATAGGGCTCAATAGTTTTTTTTTTTGTTTAAACTTAAAAAATATGTTAATCTAAATTATTTAATTTTATTTATTTATTTATTTTGTGTGTGAGATAGAGAGATATGTTTCAGAAACACCACCACCACTAACCAGCTCGTTGGTTCTGACTCACAAATTCTCAGAATCTTTTTATTTTAATTAACTTAAATTATTTATTTTTGAATATTCTTTTTGTGATGTGTTTCAGAAGCACCACCACCAACCAGCTCTAGTGGCCAAGGTTTGTCTCAATTTGTTTTTGTTTTGAAAAATGATAGTATATAAATTAAAAGATATATTAGGCAACAAATAAGAGAAAGGTTAGAAATTTATAATTTAGATTTAGAATGATGTGATAAAAGAGTCGAGTATTATATAGTTAAGCATAGCATATAACAAATTAAAAGTTTAACTCTTAATATGTCATTGTGAATCAAATTAAATTTTTTTTTAGGCTTTGTTTGGGAAGTGGGTTGGCTTTTTGGCTCTTTTGGCTATTTTAGCCTGGGCTAAAAAGTTTGGTTTGGAAAGGACTTTTTGGCTTTTTAACTTTTTTGACTTTTTTTGTGAGAGAATAGTGTAATGATTATGGATTAAATGTAATGTTTTGTTTGTCATGGCCAAAATAGCCTATTTTATCTTTTGTGACTAAAATAGCCAAAAAAACCTATAAACCAACTTGCCAAACAGAGGCTTAGAAGTCTTGAACCATTTCAACAATTAAATATTGGAATCTAAAGTAGGATGACATCACATTAGTGGATAATAAAAGTCTGTAAACTTTATTAGTTTATATAACACTGCTCTTTTATTTTATTTGAAATGATATACATGAGTAATTATTTGGTATGCTTTCAACCAGTGATATAGCAAGAAAAAATGTATGTTGGAATAATACTAACCATATTTTCTTAAGTTGCTGGGGACAAAGGATGATTCCCTTTGTGTGTTTTGCAATTTTTCATTTATTATGAACACTACGCAAGTAATATTACATTATTACTTTGGGGTTGCCTAATAATTTTTGAGTTAACCTATATAATTTAATTCAAATTTCACTTTAATTTTATTATTTTGATTTGAATAATTTGGTCCACACATTAAATTCAATTTCATTTTGGTCTTTTTATCTAAATTTTTGTTAGTTTCTTTTACGTGTGTATCTCAAGAGATTGATAAGTATTTCAAAATCGTTAGTTTTAACCACCAAATTGAAATTAGATTTAAAAGTAGTCAGTATTGTCCCATATATAAGAATAGTTGCCCAGCTTAGGTGGTATAATCAATTTTTATTACTTTTTTAGCATTTTAAATTAATCAAATAATCACATATTTAAACCATTTTTTTAAAAAAAAATAAATCAGTGTGTTTTGTTTTAGTTTTTTGAATTCAGTTTTTAAAAAATTGAATTTTTTGTTTTTCATATTTTTTTTTTATATTTAGTGAATATTTTTAAAATTTTAAACAATTTTTTTAGATGCAACTTACTTAAATGTATCTAACTAGTAAAATATTTGTAAAAAAATATTTTAAAAAATTAATAAATTCACAAAAATATGAAAAATGTACTGAATTTTTATTTTTTTATATTTTTGGTATTTGGTAAATTTTTTAAAGATTTTTTTTTTCACAAATATTATACTTTTTAAGTATATTTATGTTAGATGTGTCTAAAAATTAAAAACAATTACTTAAAATATTAAAAGAATTCAATAAAAATAAAAAAATAAAATATGAAAAACGAAAAACAAAAAAATAAAAATAAATTTTTTTGAAAATAAATTTAAAAACCTGAAATCAAACAGAATGATATATTTTAAAAAATAAAGAATCTATTTTAGAAGCCGTTGTTTTGTTGTACATCAACTTAAAACTGTGGAGTGGTGTGGCCATTTCACGTGCAAAGCTTAAATGAGCCAAAGAATGACTGTCCATTAACTCAACATAGGCCTCGGGAAGTGGCTATTTTAGTAGGTTATTTTAATTTTTGATTATTTTAGTAGGTTAAAATTTTTGTGTTTAGAAAGATGATTGAATTTTTTTTTAGTTGGATGTGATGTTTGTGAGAGAAAAAGTGAAATGATTATGAGTTTGATGTGATATTTTGTCTTATTAGCTATTTTAGCCTATTTTGTCTTTTTGTGATTTTTAGCCTAAATTAGACTATTTTTTTTCTTCCCAAACACCCCCATAGTAACCTATATTTATGTGAACAGAAATTCACCAGTGTTGTAACAAAAATATATTATATAATATAAGAAAAACATTATGAGATATTTGTTGTTGAAAATCTTGATCTATTTTTTTAAAATTTTTGAATTTTAATAATGTAAAAATATATGTGTCGTCACATTATTGGTTCTCATCAATTTTCTTTTTTTTTTTAATGATCTATAAGACAATACCTTTCAAATTTTGTCTATTAATTAGAGAATTTTTGAAATTTTCATCAATATGGAAACTTTCTTTTTCTTATATTGATGAGGAAAATCTAAATATATTTTTCTCAAATCTATAAATTTTTATCATTCATTTGTTAATTATTTTTCTATTACAAAATTAAAAATATATGTATCTAATTTTTTTTTTTTCAATTTTCTTATTAACCATCGTTGATGTTGTTATTCAATACTTATATATCATTTTTCTAAAAATACCATTTAAAAAATATCACTAAAAAGTTTTCAGAAAATAAAATATGTAGACCGGATGCATTCTTGTGACCATACATCACACAAATTTTGAATCCACTCCACATTTTTTGGGGGGGATAATTTTTCAAATTACTTTTTCTAGATCCTTAATTTTTTTTATACTTATTAGACCACATAATATTGTTATTCAATACTTATATATCACACATTCAAAAAAAAGTTTACAAAATTTTTAAAAAATAAATATGAAATATGAAAAAACATAAAATGTTATATGCTCTATGCTTGAAAAACATAAAAAAT